AGTTTATTACTTAGTCCTGGAAGGGGGGGTTAGAATGTTGTAGAAGTTACAGTTAGGGTTTTGGGTACGTTGATTCAGGCGTGGATATTAATTCATTTGGACTGTATATTATTTTATTCGGACCCTCTGCGCGAGGGCCAACAACTGTAAAAGTGTGCGTGCGTTGTATGTATGTCTTCCAACCCCACGTCTTCTCCCTTTTATTTACCACCCCCGCTTATGATTGGTTAATTAGGGGCATTTTCAATTAGCATACAGTATGATAGCATGTTTGCATTCAATTCAATCTGTTTTGATGCACCGGCGTCGGCGCATCATTACTAACCGCATTGTATTTGCAATTCCAAGTTTAAATACATTGTTACGGTAGACATTTCATATGTCATGTCTAGAATAGCCGGCTGCATTAGTTTCATTTTTATTGCATGTGTTGCAATTAGGCACTTCTGTGTAGTTGTAGGATCATGCATGGATCGCCTCTTTAGTCCCTCTCATCTGTACTCATTCCCTCTAATCAGCTTCTGTTTTTGGCTTGGAGTACTCGGTAAAGTTTTATGCGTCAGCATCCTTGCATGTGTGTGAGTGACTGCCATGAACAGCATGCTTACCATGAGGCTAATTGCTTATGTGATATACTGCCTGAATGCCTGTGGGTAAAGGTTGGGTTATTTGAATTGGAACAATTCATCAAATGTGTGTTTTAAGCCCACTAGATAGTGGCAAAATCATGTTTTCTAAGCCCACCCGAGGGTGCAAATCCACGTCTTAGCCTACTTACGGGTAGCACCATCAAACCATTTCAAATAAACAAACATGAAATGTTTTGTTCCAATTCAGGCGATCCAGTCTATACTTGTATGCTCTGCGCATCACATAGTAAATCTAGGCTAATAACCGGAATAAGAACACACAATGTTTTTCAAAACTTGATATCATGGTTAGTATAGCGGCGATCTTTGATCGGCGAGCGGGGGGCTCACGAAGTGGACCATTCCCCAATCGTACCCCAAGTTCCCGAGCCGAGGCAACTTTGGTGATGACGGACACGTGGCCTTAGGCAAACAAGTCAGGGTTTCCTAAATTTCCCCAAAATAAAACATTTAGGTGGCGACTCTGTATCTGGCAAAGCAGTCCATGTTTGGCACTTCTTTCAAAATCTGTTTTCTCAAAACGATTTGCCGGATTTGGACTCTTTGGTTCAGATTACGAACCGTGACAATTTGAGAGTCCTGAGCTGTAGTGAACCCCAACTGACAGAACGGGAGCTCATCCCTCCCAGGGCGTTCGGGGACGTCTGCATATAGTCAAATATTTTTTAAAATATAAACAAACATATCCATAGGTTTCATTTTCACAAATAAGGTTCAGAAATTAAACCACGTAACTAAAATATTTATATAATTTATAATAGTTTATAAAACATAACTTGTATAAAATAAATATGCTAAGTCAAAACATACGTAAAACATATAATGGTAACTCAATGTATAATATAACTCACCTTAACTTTAATACCTCACTCTTTCTTTCCACTATCAAAGACCCTTTTGACTTCCATCATTTTCTTTCCCTCTTCTTCGTTTCCTTTCCTTCCTTTCTCTCTTCTTTTCCTTTCTTTCTCCCTTCTTTTCCTTTTCTTTCTTTTCTTCCCAGGTGAATCACCTCCTCCCTATTTATAGGGAGGTGAAAGCCTCTGAATCCAACGTAGCAGTTCAAATCCCTCTTAGATTTGATCACGGATTCGTTCTTATCTTAATAAATATTTAAGATAATTACACTTTGACCCAGTTTTTTAATATAACTATATAAATAAATTAATTTCGAATTAAATTACATTCTGTCGTATACCAACAGTAAATTAATTATTTATTTTACTACCACACCCATTATTATTGTTATCAATATTATTATTATTATTATTTATTTATTTAATAATGTATTATCACGTACAACCATAATACTAGTATAAAATTTAAGCGACAACTTAAATTTTCGGGTTGTTACAATGCAATATTCACATCTATATCCAGTGGTTCAATAAACAACATGGGCAGTGGGCAATGCAACTCATAAGTTCTATTCACATCTATGTGCATCCATCCAGTGGTTCAATAAAAAACTTGGGCAGTGTGGGCAATGCAACTCATAAGTTCTATTCAATGCGTCCAATGTTCAACAAACAACTTGGGCAGTGTGGGTAAACAAAGTCTTAAACTTAATATTCACATCTATCATCTAAACCTGGGCAATGGTCAATAAACAGTGCAATATTCAATGTAATGCAATATTGACAATGCATCCAATGTTCAATAAACAACCTGGGCAGTGGTCAATGCATGCAATATTCAATGTAATGCAATATTCACAATGTATCCAATGTTCAATAAACAACTTGGGCAGTGGTCAATGCAATGCAATATTCACATCTATCATCTATGTTCCAGTGGGCAATGCAAAAAACATAAAACATGAGAAAAACATTATGCATCCAAGTTACAGTCATCCAAAGCTAAAAAAAAAGAAGAAGTTACAGTCATCCAAAGCTCAAGTCACAGTCATCCAAAGCTAAAAAAAACATAAGTTACAGTCATCCAAAATATTGTGCAATTGTGCATCCAAACAATACTATTACAATCACCCAAAAAAAAACCAAAACAAAACAAAAAAGTCATTCATTTCCTTAAGCCAAACCATGAGCCGTCTAAACTTGCATAACAATAAAATAAAATTATTTAATATGGAAAACACTAAAAAGTTTTAAACTTAGAAGAAGTAAACATATGTTAACAACATCTAACAAAGGGTAAGTATTTTACCAATGATATTAAACTTCAATAAAAGTACTCTCCGGACTTAGGGCTTGAACATGAACTTGATTCCGAAACAACTACACATAAAATATAACACAACAAAAACAAGTGAAGTGAAAATAATGAATTTTGAATAATACAAAATAAATGAAATGGATAAAAAAAATAAATCATTGTATATATTACTCGAATTATATTGTTGTTCAAATTCTTCAACATCCTTCATTGCTTGTTGAAGGCATATTGGAATGTTACTTTGAAGCCAATTTGTGAACAAACAAGAACCTCCACCATCTTGGGAGCAAGTGAACTACGGAATGGATCAAGTATACGACCTTCTATACTAAAAGTCGATTCAGAATTAATAGTGGAAACAAGCATTGCCAACACATCTCATGCTATAAGTGATAATACTCTATACTTTGTTGCATTAACCTTCCACCACTCCAAGATATCAAATTGAGCTTCTTTCCACCTTTCTCAATATCACCCAAGTACTTGTCCAATTCTGACGTACTTCCACTACTAGAAAATTGCCCCTCAAAAAATGAGTTAAATTGAGAGTTCACAATAGAATGTAGGTCTTTTTCATCTATCACCATATCTACTGTTTTATTTACAATGGAGACATGTACATTTGTTGAATCAGGTGTGGCATAATAATCATACAATTGAGTCAAACAATTTTTCATATTATCTAACATTTCTTTCACTTTCACCACGTCTCCACCAAAAATTGTTGAAAAACAAAATTTCAAGTATGTGAGTTTTCTTCAAGGATCAAGCACAACTGAAACATACAAAAGGAGATTGATTTTATCCCCATTTCCGTAATACTTGTCAAACTTCTCTTTCATTTTCTTTGTCATTGAAGACAAAATAGGATCATTGTCTTTGATTAATTGTCTAATCATATTTTCAATGATAAAAATTTCAGTGTAGAATGTATTTGAAGTAACAAATAAAGACCCAGAAAACCTCTTTGTTGAATTATAGAACATTCTAAGAAATTTCAAAAACACTCTACAATTATCCCAATTCTCGGCTGTAGGCATCTCTCCTCTCATCCCCTTCATTATCCAAAAAGCAGTGTTTATAATTGTAATCTTCCTCACCCATTCTTTGAAAAGCACTCTCAAAATTTTCAACCGCCTTCAACATAAGATATGTAGAATTCCACCGTGTTGGCACATCTAAGCACTAGAGACTCTTACTCTCAATTTTCAAACTTTCCACATACTTTTTAAAAGTTTCAAGGCAGTTTGGAGAAGACCTTACATACCTCACTACATGCCTCACATTTGCAATACAAGACTCAAGATCCTTTAATTCATCAATTACTATCATCTCGGTAAGATACCTTCTAACAACTTCTATAGAAAATGACGTAGATATAACATCAACAACACCCTCCCCACCAATTTCTCTAGGTTGAAATCCCAATGTTTGTTACCCATGAGTATCCCTATATGGATACTTTGTATAATTTTTCAAATGACTTAACAAATTACTTATTCCATGACTTTTAGAGCCTGTCATATACTCTTTCTTACAATTCTTGCACATAGCCTATCTTTGCCATCAATACCTTATTTTCAAAATGATCCCAAGCCTTTAATGTTGTTCTCCTACTACTTCTACTTTTGGCCAAGGGTGGTCTACGAGGGGGAGCATTAGGTTGGATAGAGGGGTCAACAAACGATGATTCAGGCTCAACATTAGGAGACACAAAAAATGTTTCTTCGCTTGAATGATTCATGACCAAAAGATTATCAAATAAACTACTTTTCTCTATAATTTCAAACAAGATAACAGATTTAATAGAATTTAGGGCTAACATAAACAGATTTCAAATCAAATGTGAACATCACAAAATTAGGGCTAATAGAATGTAAACATCCCATTTTCAATAGTTCAAACTCAATTCAAATCAAATGTGAACATCACAAAATTAGGGCTAATAGAATGTAAACATCCCATTTTCAATAGTTCAAACTCCAAATTACAGTCACAGATACAAAAAACTATAAATCACATGCACAGAGCTAAAATCACAGACTAAAAAAGAGCTACAATTCTCAAACTGGTTCAAACTCAAAATCATAAAATTTAGGGCTAACAGAATTAAGGGTTCAAAATCACAGAATTTAAGGATAACAGATTTAACATAATTTAGGGCTAACAGAATATAAACATACCATTTTTAATGGTTTTCAAAATCAAAGACTAAAATCACAAACACATATATAAAATCAAAGACTAAAATCACAGACAGTGTTAGCCTTAAAATCACAGATTTGGAAGAAATTAGATATGGATAGATACATATATAAATCACACAGACACTGATATAAATCATAGACTAAAATCACAGACAGACACAGATTTAAATCACACAGACACAGATATAAATCACAGACAAGCACAGATGGAAATCACACAGACACAGATATAAAATCACAGACACGGATATAAAATCAAAATCACAGACCTCTGGTTTTCGAGCTCTTTGTAAGTTTTTTCTCTTTGTAAGTTTCTCTCTCTCTCTCTCTCTCCCTCTCCATGTACATAGAAATAAAACCCTCATATTCTAATCTCACCACCTCTTTGCTTTGAGAACTGCAACAAAACAAAAACAAATAAAAAAATAAAAATAGATTAGAGATTGAGGAGAAGAAGAGAAAAAGAGGAAAGAAGAAGACAAAACAGAACTCACCACCACCATGATCGGCGATCCTCTTTCAGACGAAGGAAGGGTTTGGCCCTAACCATTAGGGTTTGAAGTTGAGATTCTCAGAAAAGGGCTTAAAAAAAAAAAGGTTGTTGATCGCCGATGGTGAAGATCGTCGTCGTTGCCGTCGATAGATGTGTAGGGTTTTGGGGAGAGAGAGAAGAGAGTACTGTGTGTCTGTTGAAGAAGAAGAAAATGAGTTAGGTGTTGATGATGAGATCAGAAAAAATGGGGGCATACAAAAAAAAATAAATCTAGAGACAAATGGGCGGGTCGGGTTTCATGGGTGTAATGACGCGTCACCCACACCCGATCCGCACCTGCCAAAATGCAGAATCTAGGCCCGCACCCATCTACTAGGTATCACGCATCCACCGATTTAGTATCGGGTCAGGTCACGTCAGGTGGATTTGGTGGGTCAGTGGATCTGCTGATCAGCCCTAATCTCAATAGGTCCATACACCTTAAGATTCACATACATTAAACCAAAGTATAAATATACAAAGGTAAAGGTATTCCTACCTCAAGGATTGCAAGAAGGGAAGTGAAAGTCCACATGATAAACTTCTAAAATACCACGATCTAATCGGTTCAAAACGTAGCTCTTGCAAGAAGGGAAGTGAAAGTCCACATGATAAACTTCTAAAATACCACGATCTAATCGGTTCAAAACGTAGCTCTTGATGAGGATAATAACTTTAATGAAGGCCCAAAGATTGATTCTTGCCCTTACTAAATGAAATCTAAGGTTTTCTAGTTAGGGTTTTGGAAAGAGGGCTGTTAGAGAGAGAAAGAGTGTGAGAAAAAATGAATTAGAAAAGTGTTTGGGTAGCAATATAACTCTACTGCCCCAACTAAACCGCTCGAATGAACTTTTCATCGCTCGAGCAAAGTGCCAAAATACAAAGGGATCGCTCGAGCAAACTTTTCACCACTTGAGCGGTAAATGCAAGATCTTAGAAGTTTTGCATAGCTACAGTGAAAATACTTGGAGTTCGCATTTTACGCTTAAGTGACCTTTCCTTCGCCCGAGCGGTCTCACCTGCAAACCCACGAGATAATGGGAGCTACAAATCTCCACTCGAGTGACCAAATGACTGCTCATGCGGTCACCCAAAATCAGCTATTATAGCCTACCCCCCTTAAGGAATTTTGTTTCTGGAATTTCATAGTCCCTGCCAAAATGACTCTAAAAATTCCCAAGAAAGATGAATGTCACAATAACAATAGCCTCAATCATCATGACTTCTCAAACCAAAACAAAATCAAAGATAATTTCAAACCTCCCTAGAAAATACTAACTCCTAACTTGTTTCAAACGTAACCAACAATCCAAATTTCAACTCCCAATCAACAACATAAGACTCGAATAAATATTAACAACATCAATATAAACAAAACTCTGAACTGAAGAGTATAAGAGGATCTGGTCCTAACCCAGGCCACTATAATTTGTGAGTAAGAATATAAAGGAGAGAATTTGATTTACTATGGATATATTCAATTTTGAAATCAAATACACATAACATAGCTTGCCATCAAGCAAAAGCTTGTCAAGAAACAATGTTTTTTGACATTTTTTCAAGAACTTTTTTTTGTTTCTTTGCGGTCGATGTGTAATAAAAAATTGATTCACTCTGCCCAACTTTTTGATTTTTCACTAAGGACCTCAAGCTAACTTAATCACATTTTCAAAATTTTACACTGCCCAGATTCACCAACAATCGTCCCAACAATTTTAAACCAAATTTCTAACATTTCTTAATGATTTTTCAAATTCAACAATTTATTCTAAAATGTACAACATCCATGATGAGATATGAATGCTCAATGCATATCATTTTTCCTTAGCTATAAACAAAAGTCATACAATAGCAATGCAATCCTCCAATGATTGCTACAAATAATAATTTCTAAATTGTATTCAACACAATATACTCGTATGAGTACTCCCAAATTCATAATAGGTAGTACCATTTAAACATTTCACAAACTTCTCAAATTCTAGGAATTTTTAGAAAATTTAAGATTTTTACCTTTTTGAAATAAATTTGATAAATTTATGCATAACTCTTGTCTATTGAAAGAGAATTTTGAAAGAATTGTACACTAAAGCTATAATTTTTTATACAATAATTATATAACAAAAATCTCTACATATCTTCCACAAAATCTATAACTATGAATACCACATATACAACTCAAAATCATATTTATGAAGGTAAGACAAACTCAACCTCAAGCTAGAAGAGAAGATAGAAAAAGTCTCAAATTCAAAATTGCTTCAAACAACGATCGCAATCGGTAAGATTGAAGCCCTCAACATGCTTTACAACTTTAGTATACAAGTTTTTAACAAACTCCAACTTGAGGTAGGAGAGATTGGTTGTTTTGTGATAAATGTAAGGTTTAAAGAGAGAAAATGAAGAAATTTTAAAATAGAAGAGAGAGAAAGAGAAAAGAAAAGTGAGAAAGAAGAGAGAAAAAGCGAATTGGGTGATCAATCACACTTAAGGAGGCAATTGATCGCTCCCAAAACGGATTGATCCCTTTTCGATCTCTACACACTATTGAAAAATGTAACCAACAATACAAACAGAGTGATTGATAGAACCATCATGAGTGATTGATCACCCTCAAAGAGATCAATCCCCTTTTGATCTCTACATACTGCTCGAATTTAACCAAAAAATCATGTGAAGAGCGATCGATCGCAAGTCCATAATCTCTTTCAAAAGTTCTCCAATTCACTCTCCAAATGCCAAAAATTCAAAGGACTAAGTATAGGAAGTAAAATAGGAACTAACAACAATAATTAGATCAACATACGATGATAATGTTCGCATGCAAGCGTAGTAGGACATCAAATGGATCGGATGAAGACCTAGACCGTCACAGTAAGTGTAGACTACCATCACCCATTACCCACCACCAATTTTTTCTATAAGCCATTAATTTCAAACACCACTTCCTCATAACTCTTAGCTAACACTCAGTCACCATCTTTGTCAACACTTAAGATTTGAAATGCAATTCCAATAGTTATCATCAATTGCATATTAAATGTGAAGAAGTTTGTACATAGCTTGAAAAGATTGTATACTATGATTTTTTTTGTATTGTGACCATAGGTTGTACTTTATTTCCCGTGTACATATAATCTAATGTATCTCTTTATATATATATATACACACACACATTAAATATGATAATAAAAAATAAAAACAAAAAACACTTTGTTCGTATGTCAAGTTAGTGGTTTTAATTAGTTAGTTGAGTTGGAGTCTTTGGTTTTTTATTTGGAGAATAGTTGAAAATCAAGGTTTAGGTAAGGCTATAGTCTCTGGGAATGAAAAAAACTAAATTTTATTTGTTTATTTATTTTGGATAATGTATGAATGTTGATATCTTGGTGTAGTGGTTGTAAGTTTGCTGGTGGTGCTAAGGTGAGGTAAGGATGAGTTGTTGATAGATGAGGGACAAGGAGGAGGAAAGAAAAGAAGATGAAGGTTTTTTTTTTTTTAATAAAAAATTTCAAAAGCGACCCATGTCATTAGTAGAAAAAAAATGAAATAAGAATTGAAAACATGTCTCACATTGTCTCTTTAAGTGATTCAGACTTGATTTTTATAGTCTAAAAGCCTCTTCACTCTATGTCAATTGGTATTGGGTGGTTTTTGGGCCAAATCTCCTTGTCGAGTTTGTTTTTCTCATTTCTTCATCTTTTTATCACTTTTACATGCAATTGGATTGCATATGGAAAATGTGTTAAAGTATTATCTCTTATTGTATCTCTAAGCCATCAAAGGTTGATTTATTTTAGTCTAGCGGGAAATTTGGCCAAAAGTATTTTAGAAAACTCTTTTATTATTATAAGGATAGTTGTGGCTTTTTTTTTTTCTTTTAAATTTAAAAATTTTTATTGGAAAACAACTTTTTCATTCCAGAAAGACATGAAATCTATTCGCTATGTGTTTTTTGGACAATTTTGCCAATTTTGTTTGCTAAAATCTTGTAGTCTTGTAGCATCTTCTTCTTCCTTGTTCTCCATGTTCTTTTCTAGCATCATTTTCCCTTTTTTGTTAGGTCCTATAAGATCTTATTATAATGGTTGGGAGTACGCAACAAATATACACCATGTGGGTGTGGGTATGGCCATGGAGGAGTTAACTAGGTGCTTGGGTGTGCATGTCGGTGATTGTGAAAGGGTCCATTGTGAAAATAGCACCACCACGGAATTATTTTTTCAATTTTCGTATTATGGAACATTTGTTGGGAGCCTGTGTAGATGTTCTCCGTAAGGCCATTATATATGGATGTTGATTTTGTCAAACTAGTATTGGTAAATAAAATAAAAAAAGTTTTGTCTAACTTTTTATTATTAAAACTTTGCTATAGTTCATTTTTTGTTTGAAAAAGTCTAGAGTAAAATTTCACTACCACTTGACAGTAAAATTCTATTGTTAAAAAATAATGAATACAATCAAATAATTTTATCATTGCATACACCTCAATTTGAGATTTTTAATCATCAAAGTTAAACTTATTGTCCCTCAATTTAGCAATTCTTAATCCTCAAATTGAAAGTTCTTTGTTTGAAAATACAATAAAATTTCACTATCCGAAAGATGGTAAAATTTCACTGTCCAAAATAGCAAACACTATAAAATGACAATGTTTTTCTGCTAAATTTCATAATCAACATGTGTCTTGTTTTATAGATCACACCAGGAAGATTCCAAGACCGTTGAAGAATCTAGGCCTCTCACATTTCTTCTAGAGAATTCGAAGTTGTTCTTCAAGGATCTTCGAAGATTTTCGAATTTTCCAACTCCTTTCTTGAACCCTCTCCTACAAAAGTTATTATGTTTTACAATTTAGAATCA